ACCGACATATATTTTTCATCTTTTAACACAATATTCTTAAAATATTTGACCCTACTTATAAAACAGGACTAACTTACTATGAAAGTGTCACATTTCATTTCCCACATGTACATTACCATGCATGTTAGGATTAGACAACACTTTCACTAGAGCTTTAACCAGAATATTCTTTTTGATAGTAATAAACCTTCCCTCCCAACATCCCCAACGGTGCTGTAATAAGAGAATAAAAACATGCAAAACACTAGCAAAATACAAATTACAGTTAGTGTCCATCCCTTAGTAAGTACTCACACAGGGAAACAAAAGAATTAGCTTTAAACCATGGTTCAAACATATTAGTAAATATTTACGTATTTGAGTTAATGAAGAAGCCTTACATGCTTGTTTAAAGCTTTCATTCCTTTAATTTTATTAACTTTATACTTAACCATACTTCTATGAACTCCTGGTCTTGGTAAAAAAAGTTTTAAACCACCTAAAATGGTAACGCGTGGAAATAAAAAAAAAGCAGAAAAATTTAATAAATTACCTGAAAATTGGAAAAAAAAAAAATCTTGTTAAAGCTACAGGTAATTACATGAATTCCTACTATCAGAAATAACCAAAAATTTAACTGCTTATCAGATATCAGAAATCATTGTAAAAATCAACTACATCCTGATGGATGAACAACCCAGAACATCGTGGTGCTGGTCCCATTACTACTCTTTGATGGGTTCTACTGAAGCCTTAACTTTGAAATACAGCCCTTCAGGAGGAAACCAAACTGAAGTCCATCAGGACACCGAAATCTTGGATCCACATGAACCAAGAGTAAAATGATTACTCCAAAAAAGTAGTTTAGTAGGTGTTTTTTATTACTCAGCATCAATTATCTCCATCTACACACGTCCGCATTTCAACTAAAAAGGACAGTGGTGGAAAGTTAAAATGGAACACTGAGTTCAAGAGAAAAGCTAAAAAATTGAAGAAAAACTAATCTGCAACAAATTATCACACCACACATTATGAAACTTAACTGCCTCTTAAGAAACTCTTACAACTTCCACTTTTAAGAATGTAACCAGTCACCTCTAGGAAGCCCAGGAACTGTTTCAAAACTGTAAAAAGTTATCATCAGCTACAGAAGAGACTCTACACGTTCTGACGGAAATGTCTGCACTACTTATCTAAAAAAAACCAACCTTCTTCCACGCCCCAAAGCAAGTATGTTCAATCCTTACAACTAACTCAATCAAATTTTTTGCCCACGTAAGTCATTTTAAACACAAAATTTTTTTCCAGTTCACTGAATTTTTCCACCACAGCTGGTGAAGCACTCAAAGTGATGTGTTTGAGCAACTTCAGGATCAGACCGACTTTGCTCATGTCCAGGCAAAGGCTGTACTTTTTTTAACAAAAGGTAGAACAAGTAAAGGCTGCAAGAACTGGTGTGTCAGATCTACCACAGCACCACTTGTGTTGCAATACACACAACATTTTACAGAAATTACTTCCTTGAAAGTAGTAGGCAGCTCCTGTTTTGTCTGAAGTGCTTTTACTGCAAGTATTTCCTTCAGCTTTTACCAACTACACCTTCAACAAACACAAATTTCCTTACCAAAGTCAAAGCAAGCATGACAATTTATTTTTTTAATTAACTGTGAGCTTCTATTTAACTTACATTCAAACATCTTTCCATATTCTTGGTGCACACCAGCAATTTAAGCAAAGTGTACTGTCTCCTTCAATTTTTGGGAAACATATTCATAATGTACAGATGTTTTAGAAGTATGCATGCTTTGTCTAACTCCACAACAGACTGACTCTCTTTTAGGTATGTTACTACACCATCATCTTGGCAATCAAATCTTATTAAGAAAATACATGACTTGCCAACAGAATCTTCCCTCCAGAGCCCATCTTTCATAATCTGCTCGTTATCAGGTTGTGTAATAATTTCAGACTACACAACTCCAGTGGCAGAATAAACCAGAGGGATTAATGAAATGCCATTGTGCAAGAAGGACTCGGTATTGTAGCACACATGAACCAGGAATAAAAAGCTTGAGAAAAAATACTTTACTGTCTCTTCATCAGTATGGTGGGAATGGTTTTACTGCTGAATTCCATGGACCACAGAAGAGAAGCAGAGGCTGTAGCATGAACCTTATCCTTCAACAGCATATCAGACAAAGCAGAGAAATAATTTTATCTGCCGATAAGACAAGTAATACCACGCATCCCTGGGCCTGCTTAAAATACATACTAGAAGCTCGATACTGAAGCCCAAGTTCTACTAAGCAGATTTAGCACAATTTTTCTTACCTACAGTTTCACACAGGCTTGTGTAATAATGCCTCTACACTGCAGCTTTGAAACAAATCAAGAAGTAAAAGAGCAATTGTTGGGTATCCAGCACTTCTCCCTCCAGACTGGACCCAACAAACCCACCCCCACGGAGGCCGAGAGGTTTCCCGTGTCCCAACACCCCATTTCGCAGGAAGAACCACAGCAGCATTTCCATTCGCTGTCTGCAAACAGAACGAGTAAAGTTCAGTTTCTCTGTTTCCAGAGCCATGTGAGGCAGCTCATGCCAGGCACAGGGTGGAGACTGTAAGGCAATTCAAAGAAGCTTTATAACGTTTTACATACCACCCTTCTCCACACGAACCTCGGCATCCAAGAGATTCCTTCAGACTTTTTAAATTTTTTTTTTTTAAACACTGCAGTCAGTTTCAAAGAGGTCCAAAGGAGGAAATTGCAACAAGATGGGAGAGATTAAAAAAAAGGCCAGCACTTTATATGGAGGCACTGAAATATATTATTCAAGCAGAAAAAACGGCTTTAATTTTATATGAGTAAAAGAGGATTGTTTGCAGAGATTTTTTTTCCATAGGTAAAGCACGATCAAAGGAAGGATAACCCTGGAATCTGCACACATCAGAGCCCACACTAAATCCTGTCCAGAGGCCTGAATAAGCTGCCCATTGGAGACCACGGGCATGGCACAGATAATCCCACTTGGGCTCACTTGAAATTCTGTACAGAATTAGTTCCAACTGACGGGCACGCAATGAAAAAGAAGCCGCTTGCGCCTCGGGCACAAATTCTTTGGTTTCCAGTCCTGCATCAACTTAGCATTCCCGGCCTCTCTCGCAGTCACAACACCCGCGGGCACCGGCGCCCAGCGCGGCCCGGGCGGGCTCTGCCCGCGCAGCCCCCGGCCCCGGCCGCCATTTCCAGATGTGCCACCGCCGCATCCAGCGGCGCGGGGGGTGCGGGGCTTTGGCCGGGTCATCCCTGCCCCGCTCCCCATCCCCGCCGCTCCCGCAGCATCCCCGCACAGCCGGAGCGGGGCCTCTGCCCCAGGACACCGGCGCCTGCCCGGGTCCCTCCCAGCCCCAGCCCGAGGCCGGATGCCGCCCCGGGCTGCGGGAGCGCGGCTCCGGTGTGCGGCCGGGGCTCTGCCCGCCTGCCTGCCTCCCTCCCTCGCTCACCCGGAGCCGGCCGCGGTCGTGGCCTTGATGGAGCTGATGCGGAGCCGGTTGGCCGTGTCCTTCAGCGCCTGCAGCGTCTGCTGGTCGGGCTTGTGGTAATCCTCCATGGGGGCGAGGCGGGAGGGCCGCGGCGGCTGCGAGGCTCGGGCGGCGGTGGCTGCACCTGGGGCTGGGCTCCGCGAAGGCTGCGGCGGCGCGGCTCACCCGGGCCGAGCGCGGGGCGGAGAGAAGAGCGAGGGGCGGCCGCCTCCCGCCTCCCGCCCCCCGGCCGGGCCCACCCCCGGGAGGGGCGGGACGGGGCTGTGCGGGCCCGGCGGCTCCCCCAGCCCCGCCCGCGGGCGCCATTTCCCTCGTGCTGGAGGTGCGCGCTGAGGGGGCGGACCCGCGCTCCCGTGTTCCACCCTTCGCGAATCACGGACTCGTTCGGGTTCGGAAGAGATCTCTGGATATCACCCAGTCCAACCCCCCTGCCAAGGCAGGGTCACGTGGACCAGGTGACACGGGAGCGTGTCCAGGTGGATTTTTGATGTCTCAGGAGAAGGAGACTCCACGCCCTCCCTGGGCTGCCTGTTCCCGTGCTCTGCCTCCCTCAGTGTAAAGTTCTGCCTCAGCTTGAGGTGGAACTTCTTGTGTTTTAGTTTATGGCCATTGCTACTTGTCCTGTTCCTGGGCGCCCCTGAAAAGAGTCTGGTACCATTCTCTTGGCACCCACCTTTGAGGTATTTATATGTATTGATGTGATCCCCTCAGTCCTCTCCAGACCAATTAGGCCCAGCTACTTCATCTCTCATAAGAGAAATGCTCCAGACCCTCATCATCTTTATGATCTCTACTGGACTCTCTCCAGGAGCTACTTGTCTCTCTTGTACTGCTGAGGAGCCCAGAACTGACTCCAGGTCTGCCTCACTAGGGCCGAGTGGAGGGGCAGGATCAGCTCCTTCAACCTCTTCAGTTCAACCCCTGTTCAATAAAACTGTTGCTAAGGGTCTGTTCCTGTCTGTAAAAGAATGTTCACAGCATCCCACACCTTAAGAGTGACCTGTTTCCTCCACACAGTCTGGAGAAACAGTAGCAGACTTACCCCATGTGGCTTCCTTCCAGGAAATAATTCATATTACCATAATATATGTTAAAAATGTGACAAATACGGAGTCTTTTGCATAAAATATTGCAGCAAATACATTTTCCCTAGCAATTCTGAAAGCTATGTGATTAGAGCTACAGACTTAACTAGGCAAGTTAAATATTTCATGTTTGTTCTAGAAAGCTTGAGCAGCACTAGAGGTCACAATCTAAAACCAAAAAAAGTTTAAACGGACAATAAAAACAAATACTTCAGATCTTGCTCATGAAACCTGGTATTCCTGCACTGCCCTTTTCTATTTCAGTGTTCTGTCCACTGGTATTTGTCCTAGAAGCTGTACTATATAGATTTAAAAATATTAATATATTTTAAAATCTGTTTTAAAGTTAAACATTTACGTGTAGTGAACTAATGCTATCATTATCTAATTTCAGAAGACACTGAAATGTTGACATTAAAAAAACTACACTTTGACCTTCAAAACTGCAGTTTGGGTTTCAGCAGCAAAAGAAACCAGCTCCATGTGCAGAGCATCCAGCCACGCTCACTTGGCAAACTGCCACTAAGAAGTAACATGTGAAACTCTCAGCAAGGTAAGATAAAACTTTTTTCCCTAAACTAACCAATTTGTTAGAAGAAATAAAAGCAGACACCACTCCCTTAGCTTAACTGCTTTCATAGACTGTTTCATCAGTTGTCTTTTTGAAAATCCTTTTAATAAAATACTTCAGAAGGAACACTAGACTGGAAATAGGCTACGTGCCAGAAAGGAAGAAATGGAGCCAAACAACCAGATTTGACAGTAGCAAAGTGCAGAGTTCATTCTAGAGAGCACTATACAAAGGTTAACTGCTGCAACTGCCATTTGCTGTGCTCCAATCTATATTCAACTTTACAATAATTAGGTAGGCCAACTACTTTTTGTTTGTTTGTTTGGCAGAACTAGTTACCCAAATCTTTTAATTTCAGTAATACACTTTGAAATGATATGACAATAAAATTGGAATATGGAAGAACCTGATGAGAATCACATAAGCCTTGGTTTAAGTTCAGGAACTCTGGTTTAAATTTAGGGACTCTAAAGACATGGCCTATAGTGCCAAGAGCTTTCAAAGGCAGAGCAGTGCCAAGAATATGGTCAGTAAGGGACTATGAAAGATCTAAAGAGTTGCAAATAGCATCTACAAGGGAATTACTCATTTAAGACTCCTCCTTTGCAGAGTTTCAGTTATAAAATCTGCCTTAACTACTGGCAAGGTAACAGTAAATTCAAACCTAAGTTCCCTGTAAAAGACCCTTAACTGAACCTTGTATATGCTATACACCACCAAATATCTGGGTCTGGTTTTGCCATAGCCTCAGCTAGGCCTAAACTCAGACTAATCTTGTAGAGTGAGGGTAACCAACTTCACTGTGCAACTTGCTCAGAGAAGTCTGAGCCAGTCTTTCTCAAGGCAACAGCACACTTGACTCTGGCTGCAGCCATATGGTCAGAAGGTAAGTCTAAGGTAGCTTGAGCCACAAGTACTGTCCTGGATCAAGGCTCCTGATCATTCCTTGCTCATAGTGCTTTAACTTTCCCTGCTGAGCAGTCCCATAGCTCATGAACTGGATTCCTTTCAAATAAAGATGAAACAGAATATTCAGTCTGAGCAGCTAATGCAGCCCAGCTGTTAATGAATATTCAGTCCAACAAGCCAGACAAGAGCTCGTCTGGAGCAGAATTCAAACACATACAGTGCAGATGGGGAGTCCTCAGTACTTTCTCAGGTGCTCTCAAGACCTGCTCTACTGGAATCTCCCACCTGCTGATGTAGTTGAAGCCACAGAGTCATTTTAGCAGCACAGCAGCACTTATTAGCTTGAGCTCTGCTCCATGCTCACTGATCAAGAGCAGTTGTTAAAATACTACCTGTGCCAGGGGAGTAAATGACAATTTCTGTATCACCCCTGCTGCTTAAACGCTGTTCTTTAGACAGGTGACATTTGGCTCAACCATCATCTCAGTGACATGGAGTTCTCCATGTCAGTTGAGTGAGGTTAGGCCGGATAATTTGGTCTTCTCTAATCAGTGATTTAGAAGAGGTGTATAAATTCTTCAAATGAGGCCAAGTGTAAGTGAAATCATGGTTATGATGCCAAACTCCACAGTATTTTGTATTGACTGAAGATACTTTAAGAAAACATGACTGTACACCCAATTTCAGCTGCAGAAAATAAGTTTCAAAAAACTTCCCAAACATATTTGCATCAGGAAACAAAAAGCTTTCTGGATGGCTGGTAGTATCTATAAACAATCAAGTAATTTCTTCACAAAGTGTTTGCTTCTAATAGATTGATTTACTCCCTGTTTTCTGTCTGTACAGTACGATTAGGAAGTCAGCACTGCCAGGCTGTTACTGTTTCTCTCTGCATACATCAATGCTAGTGGTAAAGTGAGAAAATAGTGAACAGAAAGAGTTCAGTCACTCCCTCCTCCTTAGTCAATGTCCTTTGTTTTCTCTCACAATTCTTTTAAATATACACTGGCCAGATCACAGCCTCATTTTGACTTTACTGGGCCAGGCTGATTCCATTCTTGGATGAAGAGTGAAGCCTGTGATCAAGTCTCCGTGGTTACAGTGAAATGCTCTTGAGTCTTTCTTGTAAGGATGGCTCCCTAACAAACTACCTCTCCTAGCAATAGCAGTCTTAACAAGTGCCTTCTCAGGCTGGACATAAGGTGCTTTCTTGTTTCCCTCCTGTAAGAAAATAAGGGGACTGATCTGGATCAGACCAGTATTACTAAGGCTCACAACCTCCTTTGTTTCCTCCATTGTTATCTGGATGGTAGAAAGACTTTAAGTTATCTTAGATAATGTCATTGGGAGATTACTGCCCACAACTCACCCTGTTTTCCCTGAATCCTTGTGCTGCATCACCGAGTGCTTATTATGGTACTGTGTTGTTAAAACAGCAGCTCAAGCATACACAGGGTGAAATTCCACCTTGTGTCAGTGCCTCCACTTTGATCTACTGAAGAGGCATGTTATTTCTGCAGCTCTGACTAAGTGTGATGGACTGTAAAGCAATAGCTAAAGTCATGGTATACCTTGCATGCAGCAGTCAACATTTCTTCCACATTCCTGGGATTTGCCTCTGAAACCACGTACGATATGATTAAAACAAGGATGCAAATGTGTGGACAAACAGCCTTGCTTCAGAACATACAATCACATCTCGTTAGCTTCAATATTAACTACTAGACTAGACAGCTTATTAAATACATACACAGGATAACTGGGTTTTTCCATCCCTTCCTCCACATGTTTCAGTGGCAGGGCATTATTGTGCAGCAGAAGCATGAAAGCTCAGCTATGACTGTCATTTGCTGAGATACTGCAAAAATGCATTGCTGACAGAAGTACATGCAACCCTGTTTACCAGAGCAGGAGCTGCGTGCACAGAGCACTGCTGGAATTCAGGCCAGTTGGCTACCAAGGGGCTCTCAAAAGGAATTCCCAAACCCAGGTCTTGTAAGAGCTCATCACTACAAAATCCAAACAGTAGTGAGTAAAGAAAACGTGTGGAGGCGTGGGAAGGGACCAACAGGCTGAGCAATTGCAGTTTAAGCACTGTATGGATTCCAAACGGAGCTGGAATCTGCCAGTCACTGCTGTCCTGGATTGTAACCTTGCTAGTCCTGAACATCTCTGCACAGTGCACAGGGTTTCATTCCATTTGCAGGGTACCTTAAAAAAGAGAAGTTATGTGGTGGAGTTCCAGTCATTGTAGCCTGGTGGATGGGAATGCAGTACATTCTCAGACCAAATCTGGTGCTGCAGCTTTTCCAGAGATTCAGTCCATACTGTCACATCTTACTCCAAATAAATTCTGTTCTTTCATCATCGATAGCAAGTGTTTTTAGATAAGCACAAGTGCACACTCAAGTAAATACCCTGTGAAAAGAATATTCACCAGGCTGTGAAATAATGATCAGCTCTGCAGTTCCCATTGGAGCATGAAAAATACTCTAAACATCCTTTAGTTGCCATAGAACAGCAGTTTGTGCTACACAGGCCACAAACAGCTATAACCAGCAACCTGGAAAATGCAAGGTTCTCATGGAGCACCTGATCCAGAAATACCCAGACAGGGAAATCAGTTCGCCTTTGAGGTCTATGAGAGCAAAATACAAGAAAAAGATACATACAAGCAGAATATATTCATAGCTCAACTCAACTAAAACCTTCTCTGATAGAGCTGGCAAAGTAATTTGGAAAAGGAAGAATGTTTATGAAAAGCTCATTAACAGAACAGACCATTTTTGAGTTACAGACAGACAAATGCTGGATAAAAATAATTTAAAAAAAAAAATTTAAAAACATAGTAATTTTTATGTTACCTCTAAAGAAAATGTCATTTACTAACAACAACAACAACAACACCCTGGAAAACAAACCAAAAATTGGAAAATTTCCAAAATATTGTCACAATTTTATGATACATGAAAAATGTTCAGATTAAACCAAATAGGCCAAATAATATGAGACAAGTTTTATACAATGAGGCTTTTTTATCTCTATCTAACATGTAGCCCATCAGAGAAAAATCAAGTCATTGCATGTCTCACACAGTTAAAAGGAACTCCCTGTGATTGGTTTTGGTAATTGCTCTGCTATTTGATAATATTTAGGAAAGCATTTCTGCTAGCAGTGCAAGAAAATGACACTATTTAAATTGAAGTTTGTAATGCCAATATTACAGTATTTTGGGGTATTTGGATTGGTTTACTATAATCACTGAATAATATTATTTACAAAATTTTTAAAGTTTACAATCTGACTTTTCACTTGTTGCAATTTTTTCCTATTATCTCTTAAGATAAATATGAAATACTTACACAATAGGAGTTTGAGGCATTTGCCTGCATCTGTGCTTGAAAGTCCTCCTGAATACATAGATGTTCCAAAGTTACTGCATCATATTTGCTTTCTCTATTTGATTCTTAATTCAAGTTCCATAACACTCTTAAAATAAGTTGAAAGGTTATTAGTCTCTTTAGGCTTGGTTTAAATGAGTGTCTGTATTCAAATAACTGAATTTGGCAAAATTAAAAGAATAAAGTTACCAACAATAACTTGTGCTAAAAGAAATCTCCCAAAACAGCAACAGTTTCATAGGCTGTGTAAATTTAGGGAGAAGGTACAAGAGCTATAATAACTGAATAAAGCAGGGTTTATTTGTGCTGTAATGCATGTGGAAAGGAAGTGAAAAAAAATTTTCTTCAGCTTGACCTCTGCAACACAACAGGCTTTGACTGTTCTTGCCCTTTGAAAGAACAGTTGCATTAGAAGCCCTTCAAGAAGGAAATCATTCAAGAATGGATGAGATGGATCGATGCCAAAGCATTCTCTCATTATTCAGACCATTATGCATCACCAGAGCATCCTTCCACATGCAAAACCACAGTGGCTTCAGTTAGACATGGAACAGATTGTTCAGCTCATCTTCAGTAATAACATTAGTTAGCAGCTAATGAATTGTGAAAAAAAAAAATCTCCAATTTCTGTGCAGCATTGCATCAAGAATTGTAAGAAATTATACAAACTGC